GGTTAAGTACATTGTCAGAATAAGTGAGAAATTAATTTAACTTCTGTTAGACAGCTATCACACTGAATACATATTTACTGTGAATGTATGCAAACATTTATGGCATATAGCTGTCTATATATGTGTTTATATATATCTATGGTGACAACAGTGACAACCTGCCTGTCAGTGCACACATTTATCGCGTGCCCTCATTGGTCATGTGCGCGTCCGTGTATGTTGGAGGAGGGGCTCTGTAAGGAAGTCTGAAGGAAGGGGCAGGTTTTTTTCGGCTGCGTACTTTCGAATTCTAGTGCACTCGAGCTGGTTTCTCCATTCTTACCTTTAACTGTAAGTCTAATTCGGTGTATGTACATTTGAGCAACAAAAAAGTGCTGTTTGAACTTTGTTAAAGTCCCAGTAGTAGAGCTGTATTTCATCACAAGGGCACCAAAGAAAATGTAAAATTGTAGTGTTTTGGTGCCTGTAGTTAAAATTCTCTGGCATATTAATATTTTTATAAACTAAAGATACCTGTAAATAATACCTGCTGATATCTTAACATATTTCAATTATCTACATACATACATATTTGTTTCAGTTACACAAAACAAAACTTTAATCAGCTAATCAAATGTACCAAAAGGTGAAATAAAGACCACGAAGGTATGTTTAAGAGGTTTATTCTCAGATAAAACATATCATATAAGCAAGGAACAGCTCAAAGCTGTTAAAGCAGTCCTACATAAATCAAATTCAGCACTGTGTATACTGTAAAATGTAAAGTGACTGGAACAAATCTGAGATCAACACATGGGGAACATCAATTCAGCACACAGTGAAACTGATTAGGTTGATAAAAGGGACAGTGCAGGACAGAAACAAACAGTAAAAATGTGACGTCATTTTAAAAGGCATGGCGGACAACAAATACCTCCGTATGCCATCATGAGAGGAAGCATTTAACAGCATCAGATTTCAGAAATCAAAATGGAGGCATTACAATATTACAATATTCAGCCAATTCTCAATGGAGAAAAATAGTTTGAGATTTGATACATTTTAGGGAAAAAAACAGTTTTCACTGCAATGTCTCTAACCTCAAGAACTCAATCTTAAAGTTTACTTTTAAACTGCTCTAAACCTTGCTTAAAGTCAATGGCGACATTTAGTATTACCTTAACAGGAGTGTAGCTTCTGCTACCCCACTTTAAATAAGGAAGATAAGATATGCAGCAGAAGCAACAATTAAAACAATCAAATAAACTAATTTCTCTTTTTACTATAATGACTAACAACCAAAAGCTGCACACAGAATACAATCATGGGGAAGAAAATGTAACTTAAAAAAGATTCTGAATAGTCAGCTAGTGAGAGCAGACAGGTGCAGGGGTTGAGTCTGATAAGGAATAATAAGTCTTCTTCTCTCAGTCGGCTGAAGGCGTAGGGCTGCGGTGGGGGCTTGCTGAACGGGAACGACTGAAACAAAAATAAACAGGGATTAGCTTGCCACAGGGGAGGATGGAAGAATAATCAGACAGAAATTCCACAGTCCTCAACATCTGACACAGTTTTAACCTTTTGAGAAAGTTCATGAACGGATACACACTGATACTTGTAAACAGTCTGAATACCTCTTTAACCTGTCAGAACAAGTTTTAATGTGAAGAGTCAAAAAGTATTTTCGTACACCTGTAATAGTTTATATATATTTGTCTAAGGCGACAAAACTTTGCATTTCAAATAAATAATTGTCCAGGGTGAAGAGTGAAATACACACACACACACCTGGTGAGAAAACAGTCTTTTAAAAAACTGACAGGTCATTGACAACTACAACTACAGCAGATTGTTAACATAGTATACTCTAAAGAGACATTTAGGAGCGTTTAATGTCATGACCGGAGAAGGAACTGCACAATTAAAATCCACCATATTTGTATTGGTTATAATAAAGTTCTAAGGAATACTAAAATACGTTTTTTTAAATTGTTTATTATAAAGTTCTTAGAAGTACTAAAATAAATACTATATTGGTGAAGTAGAAGTAGGGCTCAAACTCAAATGTGTGCATTCATCCCAGAGATGCAAAAACATTATTGGGGATGATAACAATTACATTTTGGGACATGTACAGGACAAGAAAGTAGATAAAACCAAAGAAAAACTAAACTAAAAATAAACACTGATTTTATTCTCTCAAATGTTTTCGCTATAACATATGTGTATTTAACAAATCATTTTAAAAATACATTTAGCTGTTTGTATGGTGTTATTTATGCCAGTCATTACTTAACTAATGGTATAGAATTTGGACGGCCACCAAATACTTCGGGGATTGTTTAATTGCATTTTTTGCGGTTTGACACAGTGGTAAAAAAGGTTTAGTGAGACCTGGGCACAAGAAGAAAAAAAACATTTGACTATAGGCGCTTTCACACCGGAGTACTTTTCCCAGGAATAGTTCTGATAGTTCCTTGGATTTTGCGTTCACACCAAAAAGATCTGGAACTAGAACTTTTTTTTGCGAACCTTTTCACCCAGTTTTTTGAAACCGCCATTGTATTTGCTGGCATTAGCATTATTAGCATTAGCCCAGCGCACCAAAGGAGAGACACTAACTTATGGCAACAAAAAAAAACATGTGAGCGGTGGAGATGAGGAGGTGTCGGCGTTCTGGCGTACTCGGAAGGCTTCAGTAGAAGCCAGTCCCCAACTCCGGGGACTTCTGGCCGGGGACTTCGGGTGGCAGTATATGCCGTGAAGTTGTTTGCGGCCTGCCAGTAAACCCAAAGCAGAAGAAGTGACGTCAGCGGCTTCATTTGCGTAATCCTCCCTCAGGGACTCATTCCGGTGTGAACGCGATCTGCTCAGAACTCTTTAGTTCCGACAACTAAAGAGTTCCGATGAACTTATGCTGCGTTCACAACGGACGCAATGCGATGTTTGGGGGGCGGCGCGATTACTTGTAAAGACATCGCATTGCGTCCGTTGTGAACGCAGCATAAGTTCATCGGAACTCTTTAGTTGTCGGAACTAAAGAGTTNTACATTTTTATATCGTATTTTCAGACTGTATTGGAATGTTCTTCCTCTACCAAAAATGGTCACTACCAAAACATAGTACATACAATGTAGTAAAAAAGTATTATATTAACCTGTTAAGATTGTTTTACCTTCCCTTCGCTAAATAGTATTTTAACAAATATTTCTTGAGGGTTTTCACAATTAAATTAATAAAAGTGAATTTGTAATCAAAGTTCAATTTATATATTTCATAAAAATCATAATGAAAACTTTCTGCATAATACTTCCCCCTCACCTGCAGCACTCCTACATGCCCATGTAATAACTTTACCACCACCGTACTTCATTACAGGGACCATGCACTTCTCAGAGTACTCTTCAGCCTTGCGACACCATACATTTCTGATGCCACCAGATCTGAAAAGATTGACCAGAGTATTGATTCCAAAAAGCCTTCACCTTTATCAATATGGGCCTTGGCAAAGGCTAAACAGCGTCTTACTGCGTGGGATGAAACTGTCAGTCCAATTTGGCTTATGCCAGCTCTGAGGCACTTGCTTTGGGATTCTCCTGCGCTTATGAAATGAAAAAATGTTCTTACTGAACTCTCCAGACAATTATTTCCCATGTGGTGCAATTGTTGTCAGCAATAAGTCTGAGCGATTCAGTGGGTAAGGTACCACTTAATGTCTGGCATTGGCTCAGTCAGTAGGGGCTTGGACTGTGAGCCGTAGGGTCAACGGTTCAAGTCCCCGACCAGACCGTACGTATGGAGTGTGGACTGCTACTTCAGAGGTCCCAGTTCACCTCCTGGGCCCTGCTGTGGTGCCCCTGAGGAGCAAGGAGTTAGAATCAGAATACCTTGATTAGTCCCACAGAGGGGACATTCACATTGTTACAGCAGAAAAGACCCAAATACAGCTTAATGTTACCTAAGCATGCATCAAAAAAGTACTAAAGATTAAAAAAAAAGAAATTATAGTAAAGAAGCTACACATTTTACAAAAATACACACCCTGTAACACTTCTGAGGATTTAGCAGCCAGGTATATATTGCACAGTTTTTAACGACGCACATATTGCACATAGTTGGTATTTAACAACAAGAGGTGTTATAGTCTTATGTTGTTGTGTGTGTGTGCTACTAGGGGCCGTGCTGGTTGTATAGTCTGACCGCTGCAGGAAGGAAGGACCTGCGGTATCTCTCCGTGAGACAGCGGGGGTGCAGCAGCCTGTCACTAAAGGAGCTGCACAGTGAGTATAGGGTGTCCTGGAGGGGGGGACGACACATTGTCGTGCAGGGAGGACAGCTTGGTTGCCATTCTCCTTAGGTTAGGTTTCAGAGTGGGTTTACTTGTCTATGCTGTGTACTGTATCTTATGTTTTGGATTGTTTTTGCTGCTGTGTTAATGATGCATTCTACTGCTGTGGATGTTTAAGGTTGTGCACTTTTTAACTCCTTTATATACTGTCGGGTAGTTAAATCTACCTCAATGCATCATATTCTATATGTTAATCAACGTTTGTAGTATCACTCTCCTGAGAGAACTACGTATCTCTAAAAAGTATAGGATTGAGCTCAGAAAAACATGCCTTTGTTCAGCTTTGTTGGCGATGCATTGTCCAGCAGTTCCAAGAGGCTTTTAAAATAGTTGTTCAGCTTAAGAAGTGGGATGATTCTCGCAATGCATAAAGATACATTTTGTTTTATCACAAACATTTGAAATCAACACAGTTGGTGTTTTTCACTGAACAGAAAATCAATGACAAATTGAAATCTAATAATCCCTAAAGCTGTAAGACACATGTGTTAATAATATAAAATAAACAAATATCTGTCAACTACATTATTGTTTAATGAGCAAAACCACTAATTTATGCTTATTTTCCTCTTTTCCCAGGAGGCAATAAGAGATGTCTCACTATTCATCCTCCCGCAGCTCGTCTCGGTCTACCGACTGTAAAGTGTACGTTGGTGACTTGGGCAATGGTGCTGCCAAAGGGGAGCTGGAGCGAGCATTCAGTTATTATGGCCCACTGAGGACCGTCTGGGTGGCCAGGAACCCACCTGGGTTTGCCTTCGTGGAGTTTGAGGATCCCAGGGATGCAGAAGATGCTGTGAAGGGCATGGATGGAAAGTAAGTAATAATATTTTCCTTATGAAATGAACAGATTCCATCTTCAAACATGTTAAATGATGGATGTGTTGCCTTGTAACAGACTTAAGAAATGCAAAAGTTAAATGTAAGGGGACTCGATAAGGGTTTTATTCCTTACATCTGGCATGTGGACCAGGAACTCCACCTGTCTCTGCCCTGACCTTTCTTCTCCTCAGGATTCTTTGTGGTTCCCGTGTTCGTGTGGAGCTCTCGACAGGCCTCTCCAGGAAGGGCCGTGGACGCCCCAGCCGACGCCAGTTTGACCCCAAGGATCGTTGTTACCAGTGCGGGGACCGAGGCCACTACGCCTATGACTGCTACCGCTTTAGCAAGAGAGGAGGCCGTCGCAGCAGGTGAAGGATTACTGTCTGTTGACGAGGTTGTGGCTGAAACACTTGACACTTGCTCTGATGAGAACAGCTCTGGCCGTCCTGTACCTCAAAGACGATCGGGAATAAATGTTTTTGTTTCAGGTCCCATTCTCGTTCTAGATCTCGCTCAAGGTCCAGGTCCCGTGGGCGCCGTTATCTCTCTCGCTCCCGCAGCCGTAGCCCCAGCAGGTATGTAGGCACCAGAACCTCAGTGGTTTTTGGCTTCTGATTTTTGGTACTTATTGCATGAAACCTAATGCTTTTAAGTCTAAATGTACTGGTTTGAGTAATTAACACAGGATAATAACTAAATTGATCATTTAGTTTTGAAAACTGTAATAATGTCCACTTTTGTTACATTCAAGGTCTCTCTTGAATAAATCTTGGGTAGTAAGTTGCTGTCAATTCAAGTCTCTGCAGGTTAATAATTGCAACTAATTTACATTTCCCTGGACCTATTGGAAATGTTTTTATCATACAAGTCGTAGAAGTATAACTTTAGTTTAGCCCAATCTTTATCTGCAACAGTGCAAAAATACTTGCCCTAAACCGAATGAATAGACATGCAAAGCTGTGCAGCATTAGACATTTCCGAATAAGAATGTCATACCCGTTGTTTTATATGGTAGCCCGGCCATCACGCGAACCTTTTGTTAACTCACTTTTGACGTACTTTTGCAGGAGCCGCCGCCGATCTCCATCCTATTCCAGACGCAGGAGCCGGTAAGAATAAAGCGTGGTTTACTATAAATAACTGTTATGTTAATACATCCATTTTCTAGGTTTTGTAATGGCGATATACAGTATGTGACAGATGTGGCCACTCCTTTTCCGTGTTGTGTATATTTATTTTCTGTAACATTAGGTCTGGCTCTCCAGCCTGTTCCAAGTCCAGGACGTCGGTGAGAAGGTAGGTTGTGTGTGCGACAGTTTTTCATGACACAATTACACAGATTGTATCTGAAAGACACTGCTGTTGTATAGCAAACATTCCACCCTTGTGACATGATTGTTGGGTGAGACATGAATGCAGTGAGTGACGGGAGTCTGACTGTCAGGTCAGCACTACATGTTCATCTGTGAAGAAAATAATTAATTCTTAATTATTCAAAAGTGAATCATGTTTCTCTCTCCAGTCGTTCCAAGTCTCGGTCTCGGTCCACCTCTGCACCCAGAGGGCGCTCTTCGCCCAGAGGTCGTTCCCCCCCCAGAGGGCGCTCCGTCTCACGTTCTCGCTCACGATCTCATTCAGCCGAGCACAAAAGGAACAGGTAAACCGTCTTAATATCTCTCACTCATTAAAACAAGATTTTAGTTAATTAGTCCTGCCTGTTGTCAGTGTTTTAACCAGACATGTTAAACTTGTGTAAACACTTATAAGAAAGAAGTAAGGTCTAGACTAACCAGTATAGAATTAAGATAGTTAAGACCACAACTATCCTGCGTTCTAAGAGAGGCTTAGTTATGTTCTTCACATTAGCCAGAACTTAAGCGCTCCATCCTAGCCAGGGAATTACTATTAAATAACCCCCACATCCACCCGGGAGCGTCACTCTGCCACCAAACAACTGCCAGAAGTGAGATGGATGAGCGAGACTCCTCGACGCAGAGAGATCTGCATCTTCGCCAAGTCTTCTGCTCTGCTGGGGGCCAGCTGTGGAGTGGGGGATGGGTAGCGACAGTGACTTGGGCCCTCTGTCTGGTGTAGGGAAGTATGAGTAAATGAAAGATTAGATGTCCCCGTCTCTCCTGTGCTCTCTTTTACAGCTCTTGATAGCTCTATTTAACCTCAGCTTGAGCCTGAAAAGAGAGCACATGAAAGATTGTTTCTACTGAGCCAGTAAACTGTTGAGACTCTTAGCAGCTAAAACCAGGGACATGTCCTCTGTACTCTTGCTTTCCTTTAAAGACACAAACTATGTAGTTGTATTTTATAGAAATGAATTTAAGTGCAGACATTGCAAGAGAGAAAACTGTAATTATGGGATTGATAATTGTTAAGTAAAGATGGTCTCAGGAAGTATTTTCAATGTTTTAATTTCTTCTTAAATTCCCTATCATGAATCTGGCTAGATCAAAGGAATTCTCTAGAAAGAATATTAGCTGACGACACCCTTGGTGTGACTTAAGTTAAGCATCTCTGCAGCACAGTTTTGTTTATTTTTCATATTTTCTTTAAAGCGTGTGGTGGGAGCTGAGCACTGCACTGACACCACAGCTGATCCCAGGCCCATGGTCTGCCAGCTGGCGGTGTGTACGTCCTGCGGGAGGGTGACTAAGCGCTGACCTGAGATCAGCCTTCGCCTGCATCTGGTGTTAGACAGCGAGAAAGAGGTCGACCTTCCGACCTACCCCCCCACAGTGAATGGGTGACCGTCTGTTCGACCGACGCACACGCTCAGACGAGATCAGCCCGTGCACACATTCAGTTGTTCTACTAGAGTCTTCAGAAGTACCAGAGGGCTGACCCACACAGATCATTTAAATCCATTACCTACCTACCAGACCCCCCTACCAACCAGAGTTCTTCGGCCTCTGTCTTAGCTTCTGAAAGGGAGAGAAAGAGCTGACGAGAGATCAGACTTCAAGAGCCTCCCACCGCAGTCCCTCCGAGTTGTAGTCATCCTTCGCTTCTCTGTACTTGTTGTTTCTGCCACTATCTCCAAAGGTAACAAAAAAACAAACCCCCTGAAAAGCTCATGTTCATGGTGAAAGAAATGCACAGGCTTGGTGTAGTCTTCAAAACTGGTGATTAGAGAGCTATAGTTGAGCCTTTAACAAGCATGCTCAGAGTACAAATGTGTTTGTATGTGTGAGTGCCTTGATGATTGAGTGAGTGCGAGAGAGAGAGACAAGATGAGATTCAATAGATAATATTTCTCAGGGGGGCATAAGGCGCTTTCACACCAAGTACTTTGCTGTACTTAGTTCTCAGTACTTATGGTGCGTTCACATTGGAGGCGATGCGAATATTCGCTTCGCTCTCATCGCTCCTATCGCATCGCTCTAAACGCTCGAGTTTCACCGCGGCTGCCAGCTGTGTTTACTCGCATCACTCAAACAAGACGCGCTGGCTCGGGAGCTACAACTACAACAAAATGAACATATTTTACCGTGATTAAATTGTAATACACGTTTCTAAATGATGCCGAAGTAACAACATACTGATACCGGTTAGTAAAAAACATGAATTAATGCTTTGACAAGTCTGCAGACAGACGGCAGGCGAAAAACCTTTTTAAAATGCTTGTTTTCTGAATGAAGATTGGGTCGACCAGGCTAAGCTAACGTTGTATATGCTCATTCCACACTCATAACAACGGCCTACAGACATAAATAAACCAGCGACTGTATTCGCCATGACACAGACAGTCTGTGGTTTGTACTTGTTTAACTTTTGTCTAGTTTCTGAACAGATATGAGGAGCTGTGAGCTCTGTGTGCTAACTGCTAACAGCTAACGGCTGATGTTTTCTGGTTGAACGTCAGTGACGGAAGGCTGAGATCCTCACCGCTGATTGGCTTCCGCGAGAACGCGTCACGTGAATTTGACGCTCGAGTTGAAAAAAATGAACTCTCGCGTTTGACGCGGCACCGTTCAATCAC